AAGGTGCCACAAGTACTCCTGTTCTTCTTTTTGTGATCATCTGGTCTGACCTCCTGTACGGCGCAGGCCAGAGACCTGCCCCAAATCACCCAGAGCAGAGCATTTAGCAAAGCAACCGGTCCTGATTTACACATGGGCAGGGCCGGAGAATCCACCACAGCCCTGGGGAATTGTTCCAGGGGTTAGTTACTGCCACTGTTAAACATGTGTCTTATTGTCAGCTTCTGCTTCCAGCCACTGGATCATGTCAGACCTTCCTCTGCTAGTGTGACGAGCCCGTTAGTAAATCTCTGCTCCCCACGTAGGTACTTGCGGGCTGGGACCAAATCATCCCTTCACCTTCTCTTTGTGAGGCCGACCAGATGGGCTCCTGGAGTCTGTCACTACAAGGCAGGGGGTCAAATCCTGGAATCCTTCTCACGGCTCTTCTCTGACCCCTCTCCAATCGATTAACATCCTACTTCAACCAGGGCTGGACACGGCGTTCCAGCCGCGGCCACACCAGAGATAAAGGAACCTCTCGGCTCCTACTCGAGATTCCGACTGCGTCTGTCACGGCCAGAAGGGCACAGTCTGTCCATGCACCTCAGCCTCCGGCATAACCCAGCCAGAGAACCTCCCCCAGCGATACCGGCCTCCAGCCCAGAACAGCCGGCTGAGCTGCTGGTATCTGTTAACTGAGATGTCAGACGGGCCAGCTCTTGTCTCAGAGCAATCGGCTCAGGCTCTCTGCAGACTCAGGTGTCCCCCTTAGTGGCTGACACCAACCCGGGGGGTGGGGACCAGGCGCCCCCAGACAGGGGGAGTAACTAACACAGCAGAATGGAGACAACTGATGCAAGTTGCAGTTGTGTTGATTCCTACTCCCCCACCGCTGTATAACCAGTTAGAAAATCCAAACACGCAGAAGCAAACACCGAAACCCTTTGCTGAGTGCCCGTTGTTCATGGGGTCGCCTCTCTCCATCCCAGAGGTGACTGCACTCATGTGCAGGGATCCTAGAAATCTGTTTGCCACAGAAATAGGCAGAGTTTGCGCTTTTACAGAGAATCTTTAGTTGTTACATTTTGTGAAAAAATCCAAATATACCCAGTAGAACCCCATTGATCTGAGCCGCCATTATCCAGCTCGCCGGACTCACCCGACCACCAGCTGCCCAGGCCTGACCGCGGCTGGGGCTCGGGGGGGTGGTCAGCCCCAGCCCCCGCTCCAGGCCAGTGGTTCAGTTAATACGGAGAGCCGGGTAATGGGGGCTCAACGGGGTTCTGCTGTACATCAATAAACCATTGTGTTCAACTGGTACCTATCGCTATACTGTGGCCGGGGAACTAAAGTTCAGTGTTTCATTTTATTTGCAGAAAAATGTGGATTTTTATGGGGGTTTTTATCAGAAAATTTGGGGGTTTTATCATGGAAAATTAGGGTCCCTGCTTGTGTGAAAAATGCCTCTAAACCCGTAAACGCTTGTGCAGTTCTGCTGTTCAGAGCAGCGGGTTCCAGCCCAGAAGTGGCTGCCTGGCGGAGCTGAGGGAAGTGACTACAGCAGACACAGTCGGGTCTGTGTAAAGCACTTTGTGGTGGGCCAGGCTAAGGAGGGGATGGAAATGGAGAGGGTTACTACCGAGCCTCCCCTCCCCTCCCCTCCCCTCCCTGGGTCTGGGCTGTGGATGGTGTCGTCTCTTCATTTGGGGTGTTGCTTTCAAGGCTCCTCCCAGTACAAAACAGCCCCAAAGCTGCAGCCCCTGGAGCGGCTGAGATGTGGCTCCTAGTGTGTGTGTCCCTCCTGCAGCTCCCGCTCCTGGGCAGCTCCCCGGACAGGGGTAAGTCAGTGCGGAGTTCGTCCACAGGCACCGGTCAGTTCGCACGGTCACTCCTAACGGGTCCCTTGTGCATCCTCAACGCACGGCGTGTCTGCTGCAACCAAGGCTTCATCAATGTGGGGGTAGCGTGTGTGTGTGTGTGTGTGTGTATGTGTGTGGAATTGTGCACGTGTGTGCCTGCGTGCGTGCGAGACCCTGCCGCTGCCCCGGCTGCCAGGAGGCACCACCGCTCGCCAGGCTGCCGGGCCAGAGCGCACAAGTATTGAACTAGAGGTTCCCTTCCCCTCCCTGCAGGCGGGTGTCTGAAGCGGATCGGTGAGTTCTCCGTCCTGCAGCAGCCCCTGCGGGCGGTGAAGGAAGCCGGAGACTCCGTAGAGATGAACTGCACCCTGGCGCTGCCCCCGGGACACCCCAGACCCAGCAGTGTCCTCGTCACCTGGCACAGGGGGCTCAGAGGGGACGGGCTGACGGGCACGGTGAAGCTCTCCGAGGTGGAGGAGCTGCGAGGGCGGGTGGAGACGGCGTGGCTGGAGAACGTCTCTGCCAGCACCCTGCACATCCACACCCTGCAGCGCAACGACTCGGCCCTCTACCTGTGCCTCTTCGTCGTCTTCTCCTTGGCCCAGCCCTGCGTCCTACAGGGGAACGGGACCCGCCTGACGGTGACAGGTACGGCGGGGCAGCACCTCTGGGCGCAGCGCACAGCAGGAGCTGCTGGGAAGAGGGGAATTAGAGCATGGGATTAGATACACCGAGTTGGGTCACTAGTCAACAGAGACCTTCATGCTGCAGCCCGACTCGCTTGGTGGTTGTCCTGCCTGTGCACAGGTCCACGTTCAGGCCAGCTGGGCCCGTCCAGCCTCCTGTGCACAGAATGGCTCGACACCCGGGACACGGACAGGGGCCGTTCTTGGTTCCATGTGGCAGAAGGAGAGGAGAGCTGGGCACAAGACAATTGCCAGAGAGAGAAATGCCGCTCTCCCAAACCCTCCTGCTTATTTATGCCAGAACTTTCAAAATTAAATTCACCCCCAGGGAGATTTCAGCTGAAAGGGAAAAGTCAGAGACAGTGATAAAATGCTGGAAAGGAGGGGGTGTAATGGAAAGGCACAGCCAAGCCAACCTTGCCCTAGCGGTCTGTCTATCGCAGGGCATCCCGCAGCATCCCTGCCATGTCAAATCAATAGCAGTAGCTACGGCCCAGATCCACAAAGGTCCTTGGCACCTCACGTCCTTTGATTTCACTGGAAGTGAACACCCTGGTGGCTCTGGGCCACGTCCGCAGCGGACGGCTTGACGTCTCTGGCCCGTCCGTCTGCCTGTCCGGGGGAAAGCTCTGCTTGGGGGAACGTTTGGGGCTTTTCTTTGCCATTGATTCATTTTCTTGTCTTGGTTTGTTTTGCGATTGATCTGTCTCAGGGCCGGCTGCTTGTAGCGCTGGAGGGTAGAAGGGGGTGGCCGTGTTGTGAGTGTCACTGGAGACACCCTTTCAAAGCGGAAGGTTTCACAGCAGCTCCTTAAGGTGTCTGGATCCGGCTGGTCTCCTCTGGCAGTGTCCACAGCCGGATCCCTTGATCGAGAACGCTTTGTCCTCAGCTCACCCACGCTATGTTCTGCCCTTTGTGAGGCGTAGCTGTGGGGGTGCCCCTCGCTGCGTTCCCCGGCCATCAGGAGACAGACAAAGCAGGCGAACGTGAGTTTAAAATCAGCAGGAGTGATTGCACACATTTCAAGGGTCGTTCTCTTTTCCGGGAGGTTAACTCTGAGTGGGCACTTCCCATTTCTCTCTCAGGTTTCTCCACTCCGGGAAACACGACCCGGCCCGGCCCACATCGCAGCGCGCTGGCCAGCTGGCAGGTTCTCTCCTTGGCCCTGGGAGCCTTGGGGATTGTAGCGGGCGCCTTCCTGCTGTGTCTGCACAGAAACAGGACAGGTGAGGAGCTGACGTGAGTCTCTAGCTCTGTGACCTGGGAGCTGTCTAGGCTGGATGAGGCAAAAGGTGCTTTTAGAATCCAGTTCGCTGATGTGACTTGAACCAGCACTCCGCACCGGCTGCAGACATGGTAACCCCATCGCTGGCGGTGCCGAAACCCGGCTGCTGTCTCCATCAGGTCGTGGTTAGTAACGCGGGTGAGCTGGGAAATTATTGAATCGTGTCGATTGCAATCAGGGGCGGCTCCAGGCACCTGCGTGCTAAGTGGTTATTCGGCGGCGGGGACGCCGAAGGCACGGGAGTGGCGGACCTCCCGCAGGCACGGCGCCGAATCTGTGTTACCTGCCTGCCGTGCTTGGGGCGGCAAAATACATAGAGCCGCCCCTGATTGCAGTCGCACCTAAGGAGGGGGTGGGCGCCATGTTATACAGACAAAACTACACAGGATCTTTTCAGGGGGCAAGACAAAGATGCCACATTTATTATGAAAACAATTTGATTTATGACCAATAACTAATATCTTAATCCCTATACACACACCTTATACCTAATACCTACACACACACACACACACACACACACACACACACACACACACACACACACTCTCAGATGTTCTGCAGCTGCTGCATA